TGTGTAAATAGTAATGTAAATATGTATATACAAGTATTTATGCCGTTTGTGACCTGACCCTTCGTCAAGTCGAGTCACTCCGTACGAGTTGCTTCAATTTACATGTGATGTCTTTTGTTATGCTGGCTTCCGAAGGCCACCACAGTTATAATAAATATCCACATTTCAGTATTTATACCAACCTGTTTGTTTCTTTTTTGTAAATGTGTGGGCGGCAATGACGATACAACAAACCCCGGAGGCTCACATGTGAGGCTGCTTTCCTGCCTGCGCCCTAATTACCTCCTCTCTGCCCCCGCGTCTCACTGGAGGACGCGCCTTCCTCTCCCCTGCTGTGCCACCGGCGGCCCGGCTCCGACTCCAGCCGAGGCTCCAGCCAAGGCTCCAGCCGAGAGGCTTCAACCCGCTCCGGCGGCCCCCGCAGGGACCCGCCCGCTCCACCCGCTGTGCCGCTAAACGTGGGATTAGGGGGTGTTTTGGCCCGACCAAGACGAGCTTAGCGCTGGGGAGGAAGGGGGAGGTGGCGGGGGGCTCTCAGATGGCATATGGCTGCCCGGACGATTCGGGCGTTATAACGTTGCACGTCCACGATGCCGCTCGTTAGCACGGCTCGTGCGGCGCTCCTCATGCATGAGCATTATTGAGATTGAGGCTGGCGGGGCGGGGGATGCGGGCATCCCTCCCGGTGGTGGTGGTGTCAACGACCCGACCCTGACAATGTGGCAGGCGGGAGCCAGGGCGTTTTATTTGGGCCACAATATACACACGAAAACAACAAATTAACACAGCTAAGAAAACTTACATTTATTTACTGTCAGTCAATATACAAATAAATCACCTCGTCACAATGAATGGCTACACTTTTCTTTCAAGTATTTATCACAGAAACATTTCTTCATTTTGGCGACTGCCATAGTCGATCTCTACACTCTGTTCCTCATCCTCCTGCTGCCCCTGTCCTTGTGCCGGCCCTTTTGTCGGTACTTGGCCCTCTGCGCGCGGTGCTCGGAGTGGCCGCCGTGGTGGTCGTGGTCGTGGTGGCCGTGGTAGTGCCCAGCCTTGTCCATCTTGCCCATCTTGCTGCCGTGGCCGTGCTTCATGGCCGCGCCGTGGTGGCCCTTCTTGTACTTCTTGCCGTGGCCATGGTGGTGGTTGTGATGGTGGCCGTGAGACTTGTGGTGACCCGCGCCGTCGTGGTGCTCGTCGTAGAACTCGTGCTTTTTGTGGTACTCGTCCTGTGGTGAGTCAATATTTACACTCAGACTTCGTACTGGTTAAAGAAACTCTACACTCTAATGGCTATTACTGATAGGTAACATTCTGTTTCGATGACTTTAATACTAGATCAGCATACCAGGTACCAGGTGGCTGATCTGCCAAGTCCACATTCGTAGCTCAGGGTTCCTACCGGTCTGGGAAGGCAGGGAGAAGTCCGAGAAACAAAATAAGGGACTTTCGGCATGTATGTCATTTTCCGTCATTTTCAAACAGACGGGAAAAGTCGCGATTTTTCGAGACGGGAAGTCATGCGGGAAAAGTCTGGGGAAATAAAAATAGGTACCCGGCACCCGGTAGTTGTCCTTTAGGCACGCGTGCGGGTGGCATCTCTGACCACAGCAACGCATTATACGCCTTACCGTACGGCCAGGTAGGACACCCACCCACAATCCTGTGTGCGGGACTGTCCAGAGCTACGAAAGTAAGCGGACAGAGTGTGGCAGACACCTCTGCGCCTCTGCTGTTCTCAGCTTAAACATAGGAGCCTTATTAGCAGCTCAGCTAAATATTCCAAATCCGCCGTTGACTTACCCTGCGAGTTAACCCCGCCCCATGACCCACGGCAAGGGGTAAGGGACGGGGTACGTGTAAAACAGACCGCTGGGCTCGGCTTCTGAATCCTGAAAATATCGACAGTTACGGAGAGAGCCGCGGTGGGGCCCGGGTCTGCAAACCCCGGCGTCACCGCGGCCCGCTCGGCCTGGGCCTTACCTTCTTGTGCACGTTGTGCTCGCCCTTGGTCGTGTGGCCCTTCTTGTGGTGGCCTTCCTCGTTGTACTTGGCGCCCTTCTTGCCCTTCTCGGAGGACTTGTGCTCCCCAAAGTGACTGGCGCCGTCCTCGTGCTTGAGCTTCTTCCCCTTTTCGTCCTTGTACTTCTTCTTGTGCGCCGCCTTGTCGTGGTGGCCCTTGGTCTTCTTCTTGTACGCGTGCTTCTCCTTGTAGCCCTTCTTCTTCTTCTTTCCTGAAGCCAGAGCGAGACCGTTTAGCGAGATCAGCCCCGGACATGACGCCGGCTCAGTGGGCCCCACGGGGCCCGGGGCCCGGGGCCCCTACCGCTCACCCTTCTTCTTGTGGGCCTCCTTGTGGTGCTTCTGGCCGCCGCCCTTTTCCTTGGCGGCGTGGTGGCCGTGCTTGCTGGCCGCTCCCTGCTGGTCGCCCTGACCGCCGTCAACCTGGTCCTGCTCCTGGTTGCTGGCCGCAACCAGCGAGGACGCCTGGGGGTCCCCGTCGTCCTGGAACTGCGCCCGCAGGTCGGTGAACTGCTGCCTGATGTCGTCGCCCATCTCCTTCAGTAGGTCAGACTGCAAAAAGGTGGGGTGAGTTTCGATCTCAGATGCCTACACTACATTAAAACAATCTCTGTCTTACGCTCTTTTTGCCTTTCTTCCGCTTTTTCTGTTTCTTTCTCTTCTTTTTCTTCTTCGGCCGGTCTTCGCGCGGAGGCTCCATGGTGACGTCCTCGTGGGAAGCGGACTCCGAGTCCACATCATCCGTCCCGACCTGTAGGTCATCGCGCCATTCGTCACAGACGTTTGATTGTATTTTCGATACGAGAAAGGGGTTTTGATTGAGAGGTGTGGGTGGTAGGGAAGAGGAGGATGGGGCCGGGCGGTAGGGCTGATAGTTGAAGTTAGGCCACTTCAAAAAAACAAACAGAAGAAACATTTCTCTCAACAAACTTAAAAATATATTAATGATTATAATAATAATAGTATACCAGTTGGCTGAGTAACCCTGCTCACCTCTGTAGCCATGCTGCACAGCACGCACGAGTCCGGGCGGGCTTGCCTATCGGCCCTGTCCACGGCGCCTTACGGGCCGAGCGAGTAGGCAACCAACCCGCACTCGTGCGTGCGGTAAAGCATAACTACAGAAGTAAGCGGGGTCACTCACTCAGCCACCTGCCACCTGGTATATTAAGTTGGCCCACTTACTCTTTCCGGTGCCGTAGAAACTTTGGAGACCCCTGACCCGCCTTCGTTGCTCTCCTCATCGGATTCCGCCGTGTGTTTGAATCTCGACCTTTTCTTCTTCCTCTTCTTCGCCTTTTTCCTTCTCGTTTTGCCACTTTCGCTCTCCTCCCCGTCTTCCTCTGGACCATCCTGCTATGCCGAAGAGACAAAAGATAAGTTTTTCTTTTTTTCACCCCATGCGCCACCTTAGCAGCCCAGCGCGGTGGGGTTACCCGGCCACGCAGACCCTCTCAAGATGATGGTGGGGTGTGAGAAGTCACCCCCTTCTTTCCCTCGACCCCCCCCCCCCTCCCTCCAGTTCCATCTGGGAACAATAGTCGCGCCGTCAGAGATAGCGCCGCGTGATCTGGCCGACAGCCTTCTCTGCTTTTGCTCGGATCGAATGGCTGCGCTGCGCCGTGGGGCCGCCGCGGTGGCGCTGATACGCGCGCGCCCGGTGCCCCTTGTATTGCGTAAGTCTGTTATTTGCTCCACTCGCTCAGGTGACTGCGGGAGGGAGGATTGACCCCGACTGACATGACACAGAGTACAAACATTTGCCGCGGCACGCAATGCCGTTTACCCCCCCAGAAATTATTGATTACGCCGCAGAAACGTATTGTTAAGTGGCAACAAATATTTGTGACAAAACCTTTTTGAACGCAGTATCGTGCAAACATACAAAAGTCTGATGGCTGACGTTCGCGTGGGCAATGCTAGGGTCAGGGTGGGTAAAAATGGGATGCCGGGAAGAATGAGACAGCAAATATGAAATGGAAGTTGCAACAATTCGTAAATTTCGAGTCAACGCCTGCGTTTGACTCAACTTTAGGCACCTATTTGGACCAAGAACATTTTAATTATGTTTGTCGATTACGAGAAAAGTTGTGTATCTTTTCCCCCTCTCATTCTTACCCGCCCTGACCCTACGGTTCTGCACTCTTGACTACTAAGTCGTACGAAAGGTTTGTGCGAGGGTTTTTGTGTCAGAAGAGGAATCTAACAGGAAATCAGCCAGTGTCATTAATTTTACAGAAAAACAAAACAAAAAAAAAACCTTTTTCGCATGTGACAAATTATTTCTTGCAAAATTGATACTCTCTTTTGTGACAAATTCTCAATACTTGACTAATTACAAATGGAGTGACAGCATATTTGTCACGTGACAACTTCTTTTGTAAATGATCTGTGACGCCATATCTGTGAAATCAATTGGGAAGAAGACCATTTTTTTCACTGTGCTCTGGTAGCGAAGTGTTCCAATCTCGTAAGCGGATAAGTTTTTTTTTTTTTTTTTTTTTTTTTTTTGTGGACTGGTGTGTAAGAGATTAAAATAAATGGCTAAGCGGAAAGAAATATAAAAAACGGTATCCCAAGAAATCGATGTAGACCATATTTTTTAGAAACGAGAAATCATGATAAGATATTTTCCAATCACAAAATTCCGTGTTCTCTTTCCGGTGAGCCGTTTCTTTTCATCTTTTATCAAGGTGGGCTTACTATCTCTTCCTTACACCCCCGCTGTCGAGATTCAGTGGAATTCTATTGTACTACTTCTACTAATAGAAGAATAAGATATACAGAAGAATAGCGGGTGGAACATAAACGTTCCTGATCGAGAGCTTCACTGGTAAAGCAAAGGTGCGAATCCCTACCTTTAAAAGGCACTAACAAAGTCTAGTTTAGGCACTAGAGTTTAGTGCCTTTGGGAAGGCACTAAACGTGAACTTTCACACCTTTAGCTAGCTAGCTTCATATGAGTTCCATACAGTGCCCCAGGAGAGGTAGTAAACTGCGCCCTTGACTTTAGTTCCCCGGGAAAGGTGTTGCTTAGTGCCTTTGTTTTTTCCGGTGTTCTCGCCGTTAGGTCACGCCCCCTGTGCAGCTGCCACCTCCAGTACTGTGAGCAGGTTAAGGTTGCCTATTTGCACGCGAAGTCGTAAGAAGGCCGTTAGTAAATAGGCAATAGGCATCGCGCCTTATTCGACCGACAGTCGACGTTACAAGACTGCAAGTTCAGTTCAGCCTCTGCAGGCTCCCATAGCGCCTGCTGGATAGGCAACATCTTGCCTGCAGTGCATGCGTGTACTGCGGGGCGGTCTATCCGTTGTCTCGCAGGCGCCGAGCTGTCGCAATGCACCGAATGGATCGGAGAGAAACAGGGTAGTAGTACTTTGTTAACCCAATTCCAAACGCTCCAGGGAAAAAAAATGACAACGGCCAAATTGTGTTTTGTGAGTGGCTGAAAATTCCAGCATCCCATGCCCAGCCGAAAATTCCGGTTACGGTTACGGCTACGGTTACGGCTACGGTTACGGCTACGGTTACGACTACGGTTACGGTTACACTCGTAAATTGGACCCATTTCCGGTTACGGTTACGATTAAAGTTCCGGTTACGATTACGTTTACTGTTTCGGATACGATTACGGTTAGTCAGCCCGGTTACGGTGAGAACGTTCCGGTTACGGTGATGACGTATTAGCAGTAACTCAAAGCCCCTATGAGACCAAAACACATGTCGCCCATGTAAACTTTTGACGCCGAGCACAATGGTGGTGTTTTCGTTGCGGTATCTCTAACAGTTCTCAAGATAGCCAGGGGTTGAAAAATCGACTCTTTCCAAACTCCACACATAGGTTTGACTTGTGTTTCCCTTACGTTACCCTTAACCGTTTCTCCCTGCAAAGCTTAATTTAAGCGCTACGACGTTTCAAAGTTTGAT